TTGAAAAAGGCACCTTTACGTGAGTGGAAACTGGTGAAGTGTGAGATCAGAGGATTGTAGCGTAAAAATAAGACGTAGCTCAGTGGGCGTATGCAGCTGTTTTTAGAAGTTTCTGAGAGAAAAGAGTGTGTGTGTGTGTGTGTGTGTGTGTGTGTGTGTTACTGTATTTTGGGCAGGAGGGAACTTTGAGAGAGGTGTCGGGAGGAGGGCTTGTGGGCGGCAGGGGAGGAGGAAGACATTATGGGTGATTTTCCACCCCGTCTGCTCTACAATGTACTACTAATGTACACACCTTGTGTTTTTGACATTTCCACACAAAGCTGGCCTTGTCCTGAAACTGCCCAGGAAGCGAGATCAGACATGGGGAAAGAGGGTGATGGTTGCTTAAGGATACGGTAGCCTATGTGGTGTCAGGTTGTGAAGTCTCTCAGTGTTAACTCCCACAAAGCTTAACTGGGGTGTCACTGGAGATGGAGAGGATAATGGAAGCAGTCATTTCCCTCTTCATCAAAATGATATCAGCGACAGTGCAGACACAACTACAGATGTACAAACGGCAGTTCACGTTGCCTGAACCAGATTAGCTCATAATGGGACATGAACTGTGTTTTGATAACTTATGGATTCTGAATCCTGAGCGCCTGTTCCACATTCTGGGCTCATTCAGGCCACTGAGGTCAAGTACGTTCACTCATTTTCCCCCTTAATCAAAGCTGATCAGGGGATGCTTTCTTTTGGATGTAAAATCTCTGCCTGCCGGGGATTTGTAACACGGATGACTGATGGAGGCCGGTGAAGGAAAGTGCGAGCATCATCACGCCTCCTGTGTCTATCACGGGGTAATGAAAGAGGCTTTTTAAAAGCGACAGCGGTGAGGCTTTTTCAGGCATTCCTTTGACATGACCTTATAGGAGGAACACGCTCTGGCCCTGGGTGGGGCGAGGACAGACAGAAAGAGGCCACTGTGCTGAGCCGTCAGCAGGATGGACAGATGAGAGAGAGAGGGGTGGTGTGACGGAGAGGGAGGGAGGACATAAAGGTGGACCACATTTACCCATGACATCACTAAGGAAAAGCTCCCCTCATGTTTTTTTCCACAGCATGTGCTTAACATGTTAGCCATGTTGCATGTAATGTACACGCTGCCCAGCCGGCTGGTTTCCTGCCTCGCACGGCAAAAGTCTCAGATACAGTCCAGCTCTTGTGTTAAAAAGTGTTATCTGATTTCGCTGCAGAGCAAAAACAAACCCTTGTCTGGATCATTTAGGCGAGATTATCAAGCGACTAATTCACACCTCCAGTGTACAGTAAAGACATTATGTGGCCTGTGTGTACAGTAAGCATGTGCTGAAGCAGCTTTTTGCCCATCAAAGCTACCGAGTTAATGAGACGAAAGACTTAAGGGAGCGTAATGGAGTGGTTCATGTGTAGAGTCTGTCATGTTTTCCTGTCCAATTAGCGTGACATGTACATCACGAGACCCGTTTGCCTCTGTGGAAGTTCAGTGATCGCGTGAGACAACATGTGTGTCCACCACAATGTCGTCTTGTCAAACCTACGTCTGATTGGATAGGGGGGTCTACATATTGTCTTACAGAAGGGGCTCTTCCAGTGTAAACACTCAAAAACCCGACCTAAGTTGTTTTCCAGACTTCCAGGAATTTCTGAAGTTCCTTGAATCGTCAATCAAAGTGCTCGCTGTGTGCCTTTTTTGAAGCAATCCAGAGTGGAAGGAAGTGAGGCGCTCGCCTCATGGGGAGGTAATAAGCCATTTTAGACAAACTTTCCTACAGCGTGTTCCTCGTGCCAGGCCTCGGTGCCAATGCCTTCCCCTCAGCATAGCTGCTGCTGCTGCCATCCCTGGCAATAAAAAGCTCTGTTTGATAGAGTCAGGGGGCCTTTGCAGCTTTCCTCGCCAGGCAAAAATAACCCTAATCCCACTCCCATTTGTTCATGATTTACAAGCATTGTGAAATGTTCTCGATCTTCTTTCCAGAGAGATGCTCAAATCAGTGCCAGCCTCTTAAAGTGCAATATGTTTTCTCAAGATTTAAACTCATTATTTAAATGGACCTCGACGGTAAAAACCATAGAGAATTACATTTTGTCCAAATACAAGCAGCTGAACAAGAACTCTAATAAAGCCCTCAGTATTTCACTGTTGGCAATAGTCTGTGCCGCAGACACGGATCAAGTGGTACCGTGTTGAGTCTTGATACCCTGCTCCTCTAACACACTTACAGCCCAGCAGGAAGAAACAACCCACAACTAAATCTATTTCCTGTCGCGATGAGATGAACTCAAATATGAAGGTACTTCTCTTATCATAAAGTTCCCCGCTAATGTTGTGTCTAAACGGCTTCGGTGTTGTGCTTTGTTATGTCTGTTCTTGAGCCAAAGACAGATAATTATGCGGTTTACTTGCTTGTTTGTGGGGATAAATACTTTTATGACAAATATGCCTCAAACCCTCCACTTTGTAACACAAATATTGGTTTAGTGACGGTAAACTTTGCTATTGGTCCGGTCAGGGAAATGACTACTGTGTTTAGACAGGAGTAAATATTCTTCTCGTTAAAACGCTCCTTGGATTGGTACAAATGGACTCGGTGCTCCTCAGACAGATGACTGTGGTGTTTAGGGCCCAGCTGTGCGGCAAAGCTGTATTTCCTTGTGTTTATAGGTCCATAGTTTCAGATCGGTAGGAACTCCTGGCAGTTATTATCCGTCTACTTTTAAATACAGCTCAGAGTTTCACTTTAATGTTATCTTTCCATGCCTGTCCTTGAACAGTGTTTACAAGCTCAGGTTGAGCTGAAATTTTCTTTTTTGTTGTTGTTTGTCTGATAACGTGACAGTTCCTCCGCAGCTGTAACACATTGGTTTTTCTAAAGCAGACACCACCTCTCTCACTTTACCGGCCTTAAAACCATTATTGGCTGTACAAGGATGCAGTTATCACGTTCGCAGATGTTTCAGCTGGAATGAGTTCAATGAAAAAGTGGTGCCATACCGTATTGTAGGAAGCCAGAAGCCAGTAATGATTTAATGTGCCTTTTCAGGAAGGGTCAGGCTAAATGGTTTATTTAAATTCAGCTGTAAGATGTAAGGAATTAGCAATAAAGTGAAGTTCAGACTGAAAACGGCTGAAATGGTGTACGTGTATTCTTACAGGTACCGGTTAGAAGATGAAATGTGATCGAGGAAGTCCAATCTGAGTAATGCACCGATGTGTTTTAAGGCTTATCGGATGCTAAATGTCTGATGATCATGAGGTCAAGTGAATAAGTCATTTAGCCTTCTCACCTCTGCACATCTGGCCTATTACACCATGAAGTGAGTCTGAATTTCACATTGTCTGTTTCGATAAGTTACAAAAATAGTCGGACGCAGCTCCCTCCCCAAGTCCTACGTCAGAAAGTTGAGTGTGAAGTGTGGTTTCAGTCACTGTTCAACCATAACTCACTTCGGTAAGAGCTTACTGAGACCGTAAGACCTGAAAACACTCTCTTTAGCCTTGACATCCTCACTGCACATGGACGTCTTCTGATTCATTGCAGCTGTACTAGTGTCCAGTGTTAACCTGAACACTGACCTCTATTATCTTTACAAGAGTAAGCTGTAGGAACTCTTTAAAACAGCTTGTCTCTCAAGTATACGGGACTGCGGTTGCCAGGTCTGACACTCGTTGACCACTTGTTGCCAGCTCCTCCCTCATTTGTTGTGTGGTAGTTCTGCTTCTGATAAGCCATCTGTGTAACTGTAGGATACGTGGTGTTTGCCACAACTTCATCTCTGGCACCAGCTCAAGCTTATTTACATACCTGGGAATCAAGCAGGAGGCCCAGAGGAGAAAAGCATGCAAATGTGCGTTTGCCTTGGCACTCCTCGGTGCCCACATCAAGAGCACATCTCTCGGTGCAGGGCGAGGCGTCAGGGCGGTCCAGCAGCTCTAACTCAGGCTGCTGTTTAGTGAGGAGGGCAAACTGAGGACTCTGACTGAGTGGTAGTTATTCACCTCTGCAGGTGCTCCTTTTGAAATTCATGCGAGAGGAAAAATGTACTCGTACACACGGTTTGCTTTTAATGGCAGAGTTTTAGCATTGCTGTGGTTTTAAATCTCGTCCAGTTTTATGTCAGAATTCACTGATAGAGTTCAGATCAATTATTTCTGTTGTGTAGTGCTCGTGCTCGTGCTAACATTTTTCAGTTGCTGTATGTGGAGCAAAGTGATGTGCAAGTCGAAAAAATATATTGATTTCATCCCTACCTTTCACTCCTATGGAGAGACGCAGCACAACGGCTAAAGTTTTCACAGAAAACAACTTAGTTTCCGAGTATCCATTCTCTCCTCTGTGGCAGACACAGGAGAGACGAGGCATTTTGATTTACACATACACTGCTGTTTATAGGCTTTTGTGCTTTCCATGACACAATTCAGAATAATGGCAATCTAGCTTTAAACCCATGATTGATTTCTGCTCCGTCACCTGAGGGGGTGTTTCAACCTTTCACTCTGCTCTGGTTGATATATGAGCATGTGTTTTCCGTTCAGAATCTCTATTAGGAGATTTTGACAGTTTGATACAGCATTCAGACTCCAAGAAATCCTCCATGTTGAATTATCTGTCTCCATAACATAGTAGTGACTTATATGTGTGAGTTCAGGTGACTGTAAATCTTTTCTCACCCAAGTTGGTGAATCTGTCTCGCACTGAAAAACACAGTAGATCTGGTCTTTGTTCTTCTTCTGCTTAACTGTTCCAGATTCCTCCAAATGGAAATTTGAGGTTTTGTCATGGCACAATTTCATATTTTTGTGTCTTTTTGTTAGGAATAATGTTATCCATGACTGTGAAAGCCTCATGATAGAACAGGAAAAACACAGGGAGCCTCTAAATGTTCGAGGCTTCCCCAGGTTTTGGGGTGTCTAGTCTCGGGACAATAGATCTGTCTGTGGCAAACCACAGCTGTGTTTGTGCTGGGACGTCGGTTGCACTATGCACTATTCCTCCATTCAATCTGGCCGGAGCCAGGTTGTCCCCGAGGGACTGAGGGGGGCCGGGGCCGGAGGAGGTGGAGGCAGGTGAGTGCAGGTGTGTGACTGCAGACTAACTTCCCCCTCACCTCTTCACTCCTTTGTACACCACAACCGCTGTATCTTTGCTGTTAAGTCTGTGGGAGTCTGGAATAAACATATCAGCAGATGATTAGCAAGTCAACAATAGTGTCTTTAAGGGGGGGCGTTCTCTCTGAATAACCTTGGGGAGCCTTTTTCAGGAATGCAGCAGCAGAGGACTCATTATGTGTGCTTGAGGTTGCGCCATCAGTTAAAGGAAAAAAAATCCAACCCAAGATACAATAACTGATTACATCAGCGATTAATGCATTCCACGTTTTAATGTGTGCTCAAGTGTTGCAACTGAGTTTTTTGTTTACTCATCTTTCCTTGATGTGTGTTGTGCAGTCTGTTTCTACTTGATTGTGGTTTACATCTGCACATTTCATAAGAACTCTGTCATAAAATTGGTTTTAACTTGGTGCATTTACTTTTGAATATGCATGTAAGTGCAGCTATTTCTTCTGTATATTGTCTGTCATTCATTTCTTACTATATGATAATCTGAATGTTGATCTCCAATTGATATCTATCGCACTGGAAATAGCATACCATCACATATTCTGTGTTGGGTCATGAACCAATGTGACCAATGTCTCATAGGATAAAATGTTGACGTGATGACATTTTGGACAGACATGGATGGAAACTTGACTGGTTGCAATATTTTCTATCTGAACTCTGTCCGTACTCTTATTCAGCATTGGAGTTGTTCTTCATACAGTATTTCATAAAACTGGTCATGCGTTCCACATGAATTGACAAGAAGACCTAATATGTGCCACTCACCGAACCGAATCATCCAGTTCTGTCTCCCTGTGGCTTCAGCCGGGTGATCTGACGAGGAATGCACTCAACGCCACCTCAACTCTTTTGCCTTTTACGGGGGACCTAGCATGTCCGGCTGGGCTTTCCTCTCCTGCCTCTTCTGCTACCACATTAAAGAGACCCAATCGTGTCTCATGGGAGTCATTCTGTATGAAGGAGTGTGTTGTTTGTGGGGAAAAAGGAATTTCTGCTTCTTCTATCAGATCTGTTTGTGATTTATGAAGCATTGAGCGGACTTCGTGGAAACACAACGTTTTGTTTTTGTATCTACGTGGGTCTGTACATTCAGCTGTTTGAAGAAAAGGTCATTCTGCTCTTGAACTACATATTTTCCAAATCTTGTAGAAATGTGGGAATTCCGGAGCTTTATCTTTCTAACTCACCCCGTGAAAACAAAACAAAAAGCACAAAGGTTTTCATAACAACATGAACCAGTGCTGAGTGGCAAAACAGAGGGCTGAGTGTGTTGAGAAGCTCTCTCAGCCAGTTGTGTTTTTGGCAGTCGTGCCAGTGAGGCTGACCTTCTCAACTGTGAAACACTGGGATCTGTATTACAGTTGCACCTGTTGGGAACATGAAGGATTTAAACAAAGGCAATAATGTTGCTGCAAAAGATCCTTCACAAGAGAGCAAGCTCTGTCTGTTGTCACCTCTCTGAATCTGTCTTTTATTTATGCAGTGAGGAGCTATTGTGTGAGGTGACCCATGTCCAGGCTTGAGCATGATAAGGATCTTATCTGATAAGGACCAGGCATGTCTGATGTTTGAGTTCTTCCAAAATGACGAGTTTTTAAGGGACAAGCGTATCTTAAAGCTACAAGAAACTAGCTTGCACTAGACATCTGGGATCTCTGAAATGAGCTTTGTTTTTGTTTTTTGAAAACATGAACTTTATAGACTCGGGTATTTTATTCAGACAGACACACACATTCTAAAAAATATTAGACGATTGATTAATGAGTTGATTAAAATAAATAAATTAACAACTATTTTGATTCATTTATTACTTTAGTCAAGCATTATTCATTCATTCTAACTCCTCCAATGAGAGGATCTTTGGGTTTTGGACATTTTTAAAACGTTTGGACTATTTTCTGACATTTTATTGACTAAACCAATAATAAATTAATTGAGAGAATCAATTTCTCAATTGGCAGATTAATTGAAAATTCGTAAAAAAAAAACATGGAAGTGAAAAGATCCTAAGATCCTATTTGCTTCTTGTCTGTCACAGCATACTCCACTGTTTTTGCCTTGTTTTCATGTGCTTGGTTTAGTTTATCAGTCGACCAGCTGATGTATTACAGCTGCTGGCTTTCATCCGTTTCATCTTTAAGTCTTCGTCTGCACTGTATCCGTATCACTCACAAACACACATCAACATTTCCCTGCTACTCAGCGGTTCTCTTATCTTGCCTGCAACAGTAAACGGTCTCTTTTCCCATGTGTTTATGTTTGATACATTTCTTCGGAAGAGGTTGTGATGCCTGCGGTCAAAATGTAGTTGAATACTCCCAACATCAATCAAGTTCATAGTTTTGAGTGCAGAGACCTCATGCGTCATAATAGCTGCAGGAATAGTGAACTTTAATAAAGACGTCTCTCTCTGATGACAAGATGTGGATGGGAACAGTCTGTTCTCTGTTTTCTGATTAATTAGATTCAGATATATTACTTATTTTAAGTGGACTCTTAATTACTTGCCAAAATTTGATTTATAGGAAACGTTTGAATGCACCCTCGTATAGTGATCTGTTCTTCCTGCAGAAGAACGCCTGCAGGTTGTCTCTCTGATTTTCCAAATTTTCTGAAAGCACTTGAATTTACAAAAATTCAATTTCTGTTTGATTTTAATCCGGTTTCACATATTTAAAAGAGAAATGGATTCAACAGAATCACTCTTTCCTATTCTGTGATTGTGTTGGGCAGATACTTAGTAAACACTTTCTTCCTGCAGTTACAAACTCACTAATTTGACATGTCATGACTTATTTTAGCTAACTTCATAAACTGCACAGCTGAATGCGTGCCTTCACAGGTCTGTTATTATTATTATTATTATTATTATTATTATTAATGTATAACATCGCTCTTTCTTTCTCTTTCTCTCTTTAGTTGAAGCAGCCTGAAAAGGCGGCGGCGGCGGCTCACACTTATTTCCAGGCCAACCCAGAACATGTGGAGATGGGTCAGAACCTGGAGCAGTACAAAGACCAGCAGGGCGTTGAGGAGGAGCACTTTGTGGACCGAGAAGCTCGGCCTCATCAGGTAAGCCAGGAAATCTTAATACAGAGACGTGTTAACATCACTTATCTCTTTTTCTTACCTGAGCATGTTTCAGATCATCAGTGTGACCTACTTTCATCTTTTTTCAAATCAGGACAAAACTTTTTCTACTTCATTTCTTTCTACTTGATGTATATCCTGAAGGGAAAAGTACAGCTGTGGTCCCCGTATGAAGGGACCTTTGTGTTAATGGCACTCTGAGTTTAATGACTGGAAACTCTTTAGTGCTTGTTGTGGTGAAACCCTGAATGCTGAAGAGTTTTGGATCCTTTTTGCTCCGATTCTTTTACGATCTCATTTCTCTGTTCTCTCTTTATCTTCAAGTCACGCAGAACCTTCTGGAAGAAACTTTGAAGCACGACTGATAATTTAAGTTATTGTGTGCCTGTAACTTCCCTTTACTTTCCAATCCAAAAGACTATAAATTCATGTATATTTCATCGTATTATAAATGTATTCATAAGGAAGTGACAGTTCAGGTTAACCCAGCCAGCGTTTCTTCTCTTTATTCCAAACAAATGACCACCGCTGCTGCAGGAAACGTGATGTGTGCCAAAGGACTTGTAAAATGAATTGATGAAGAACAAAGATTTCCTTATATAAAACTGTCAAAGATAAATTCCTCATTACACCGGTATGTCATAAAGAGCTTTGTTGAACACCGGAGGTCATAAATACTCATCCCATCATTCCTAACTCTCATGATCCTCCGTCTCTCCTCGCAGCGCTCCTTCGCAGCAGCAGTGAGATTGTATGATAAAGGCGACCACGAAGAAGCCATCGCTCTGTTTGAGGAGGCGTTGGTGGAGTACTATAAAGCAGACTCGGAGTGCCGGGCCCTGTGTCAATGGCCGCAGAGGTTTGAGGGCCACGACTACCTCCGCTACCGTTACAGCCTCCATGAAGTCGTATCGGGTAAGAGCCAACATCTCGAACAAGACACGGAAAACTGTTGACATTCATCTTTCCTGCATTTATTCTCAAGCTGCATAATGTAAATAACCAGGGAATAATAAGGCCATATATATTGCATTCAAATCCCAGCATAAAGATAAACATGATTTGCATTATGGACATGATTTGTTGGTGTAATCAGCTGTATTTATTCTTCATAATGGCAAAATTAGAGAAATATGGAACTACTTATCCTGCAAGTTTCTATTTGGAACCAGGACTTTCTTGTTTAGTTTCTGGTTTACATTCTTCACACCCTCTTTTTGTTACATTCACAATGTTGATTCTGATATGACAGCTGGCACTAATTAAGCAAAACCGTAAGATGGCATCTAACATTGGTTCAAGCTGTTTCAGTTTGTTTTTCTACTGTTGCATAATAGCATATTTTGATATTTTATTGCTAGTATGAACTGATGTCTGAATTAACCTGCATGTTGAAATGCAGTAGAACGTTGCTCATATGTTCTTTGCCTTCTAAGAAACCCTGCCCTGTGTTTTCTGTTGATGTGAAAATCCCACAGTTTGTGTTCATTTTTAGACACGCCGCCCTCTGACAGTGGTTTCATAAATCCAGTTTTTAGTTGATTCTAAATTAGACTGTTCAGTTGTGAAACATCTCATCAACTTGACGCGACTGTTCCACCAGCACGTGACTGAACTGCGTGGCCCTGAGCCCGAGCTGGGCTTTGTTGTGGTGAGATGGAGCCTGGGGACGGAACAACACCCTTCATGCTCACTGGGTGATCAAATCTCCCTGGCAGTGGCTTGGCACTGGGTCAAAGGGCAGACGACGGATAACAGCCATAAAAAAAGGCAGCTGTGTTTAAAGGAGCCATATACAACATTCCGATCATTAATATAGCAGCAAACAATTACTTGCTATGTAAATATATGGTGGAGTAATGTCTAGCTGAGCATAGAATAAAGTCGTTATCCGAGCTTCTCCTTGCTTTGTTGACATAGCCGGGCCAGCAGCGCTTGCTTTCAGTGCATGTTGGTGCACGTGAGCGTACCCCACTGGCTAGCTCACGGCCACCGCTCTGCACTGCTTTCATATTGTGGTTGGAGATGATAATACCATCGCAACCGGCAGCGTGGTTGTGGAAGCGCCCATCCTCTGGTTCCCACTCAGGTAAACACTGTTAGTTCTGTTAGCCCGTTTGTGCGGTTAGTACCATTAGCTGCGAGCCTCCGGCTCAGGCGTCGCCATGTTGAGAACCATTGAGCCAATAGAAATGCTCCCAATCTTGTATATCCCCGACACATGTTGCAAGATTTGATCCCACAGACTTCCCTCAGTTGTTCATTGTTGTATGGTTTACCACAGCACTGAGGTCTGAGGATTATTAAATTAGGGGGAAACTGCATCCAGCTCTTTTAAATTCAGGACACATTCCACATTTTAGGGTTTGTAAATGTTATCTGAACATTGACATTACTTTAATAGGCGAGACCACATAACAGACCCTTGGGAGTCACTAAACCCTACTTATGATGTTAAGGCATGGTGTGGAAGACTCGTGACACATACCAGAGCCTACTCATCCAACTGACTCATCCAACTGACTGCCCAAGTATTTAGCTTCCACAGTACGTTTTAACAAACTCGGTAATAGAATCAATTAATGGATAACGTGCAGATCCAGAGGAAAACTCTCAACCAAATCAGCACCTTAAATAATTGTACACAGTCTCTCTTGAAAATAAATCAAATGTTAAAAAAATAAAGGTAAGAAATAACTCAAAGGAAGATCGGTCCGAGCCCCAGTTAGCACCGAAGTGTTGAGCAATATTCTCTCTGATGTGGACTGTGTTCAGTTACAGCCCTGGGATTTGGTAGACATGCTCTGTTACCATCTTTGACAGTCCTGAGAAATAGCCTGAACCAGAGCCAGAACAGCAGACTGAGTGCACCCAAAACGCCACTACGAGTCACTACAAGACTCTTCTTCTCTGTCTCTCTTTAACCTGAAGTAACCTTGTTTCTTCCTCACTGCAATCGCAGGGCTTTTTCTTCTTAAAGGAACATTTATTACAAACCGCAAATGTTATTGTTGTTTTGAATATGTAGATTGATTGAATGGTTTCATTTGGGGCTCTGTTTGTGGTTCAGAGACTTCCTTCTACTTTGTTAATATTTAAACTTGCAAAGTTTCTTTTTTTCATTGTTTGATAGTATAGCTTGTTAATGACTGTTGACAAGTTTAAAATCAGGTTTCAGAACTTCCCACCAACACCTGAACACACCACCTGGTACCCTTTTCCATGCACAGTCCATGCTTTCGGTTACAGATTTCAGAACATTTTTGTACACAACAGTGGTGTAAATTTGACCAAAGTAGACCGCTGATTGTTTACTGTTTTATTTATTTATAGTAACTTGCAGCTTAATACCCTTAAGAAGTAAAACAAAACCCAGGTCTGCCTGCACAGCCGCTACGGAATAGTTTCCTCTCTCTCTCCTAAATGCAACAGAGCAGCTCAACAACAGAGGTCACTATAATTAATGAGCAGTAACGAGCACTACGCTAACTTTTATTATGTTATTTCGTTTAAAAAAAATGGTGTGCAGCCAATAACTTATCTTCCTACAGAGAATCAGACGCTTTTGATGTGGAGGGAAGCGTGTATCCACAGCAAAGCACCAGATCATAATAACGTGATTATACTGATATACATACACATCTACTGTGGTCAGTGGTGCTTCTGATGACACGAGTCAGACCTTTCTCTCTGGAAGTTGAGGTGGGTTTTGTGCGTTAGCCGCAGCTTAATTGCTGACAAGTGTGCTTTGTCTCACATACTGTATGTATGGCCAGGTTGCATAAACACAGAAAAGCCGGCAAATTAGTTTTGGCCGCGCTTTGTTTTACTTAAAATCAGGGGATTATTTTCCGTAGCACCACTCCAGTAGAGTCTGTGATTATAATGTTTATTTGTGTACATTTGTATTTTGTGAGAGTAATATAATCCGTTACGTCAGTTAAATATAAGAGAAAGTATTTAATTGAATGACTTCCTCGTGTAGTGATTTGATTTTGTTAAGAAAAAAAGAAACTGCGTTACGGTCCTGCTTGATTCTGGCTTAAAACATTTCATATTTCTGCTCCTCTGAGACTCTTGAAGAGATTGAAAAAGACCACAACTCTGGTGTCTGGGTGAGGAAAGTAGCACTGCAGCTGCTCAAGAGTGACCTCACTTTACAATCACGCTCAAAACACACACACACACAACCACATCCACTCTGATGGTTCTTCTCTTGGGGCTCGACATAAGGAAGTAATATGCAGCGCCTCGTGAAATCCATTGTTCCTCAGGTGGTGATGAATCCTGTTTGTTGATCCTGCGGGGAAGACAAAGACATGAAAGCACTTTACTGTTCAAATGGGAACAACATTTAGTAGATTTACTTCACAGCAACAGGGAATAACATAATGTTGGACATGCTGTATTTGATTTGATACAGCTCCTCAAGTTGAACTCACTCCAGGTTTTTTTTTTTTCCCACAAATACCAGACCCTTTAGAGAACTAAAACGGGACAACAGGGAACAAAAGACACTTTAAGAGCAACTTTCAATATCTGTTTTATACAAAGTTCTTATTATTTTCAGCGTAGGAATAAATAATGGTGCTCTCCTATTCAATGGGGATCTATATAGTAAACAGACGATGAATACACTTCATCGGCTAAGTGATGTAGCCTTGACGCCAAATAGGTTTGTCTGTATAATTAAATCAATATAATAAGCTGGAGATCAGCTGCTATTAGTTTCTCTTACAACTGTAATGCTAACAAGTTATTCATTATTTTCAGCTGTATTTCCAGTGGTCCTTTAACCCTGAGCTGATATTACACCAATGATCTCAGCAGAGTTGATGGCTGTGGGCAGGGGACCAACCTGGAATAGTGACCATATTGCATTGGTGCATTACATTTGCAACAGACCACACAGTCGTATAACTGACTCAAGATGCCCAGTGGTATTAGGCATGCAGTAAACTACGTGTAACTGTGGTACAAACGCTGTAAGGGGAGCTGGTGGCCACTGTTCTGGTTTGAAACTGTGTTGGACTGATCAAACCATGGTTTTAGTTAATCAACCAATAAAAAATGTTTTCTGGCCAAGACTGCATGTCTGTCCATCCTGGAGGAAGAGTCTGTCTTCCCTTTTTCTCCCATTAAAGTTTTTTGAGGGGAGATTTTCCTCCTCTAGATGAAGAGGATTGTAAACCCGTTTTGAGGACTCAAAAATAATTTCAGATATCCAATTGTTATTATTTATAAGAACTATTGTTTCATAACCTTAATGCTCTACTCTGCTGTTTACTCTGTAAAATCATATCCTCACCTCAGTTATATCGATATCGGGAACACGGGTATCTAGCCCTTAAACCAAAAACTCAATGAAATAAGAATCCAAATGCAACATTTAAGAAGCGGCTAACGATCTCAAAGTGAAGCTGATGATCTGATTTTGTTTTAGATCACTTCACTCAGGTGCTGCACTGTGAACACGAGTGCGTCCGAGACCTCGCCACCCGGCCGGGCCGCCTCTCCCCGATGGAGAACTACCTGCCTCTGCACTACGACTACCTTCAGTTTGCCTACTTCCACGGTAAGTTGTTCAAGGAATGTAATACTTATTCAGACCTTACTGATTTAATTTTTCTGAAAACCTTTTAAACAAAACTCTTCCTGAACATGACATCTATCTGACTATGCTTAGTGTAATTATGAACAAAGAAGATGTATACACCCATAGGTCAAACACTTGCATACGTGCATGTACAAGAACTCACCGTGACCACAAAGAGCTGCAGACGGGCCGAGCCGATCAACTGTTGGCCGCACCCCATTTAGAGTTTCTCATTGTTTCACAAGAATTACATTATCTTTTATATGGGCGTATCCAGTCTGATGTAGGAGCTCTCAGGTGTGTGTGTGTGTGTGTGTGTGTGTGTGTGTGTGTGTGTGTGAGAGAGAGAATAAATAGGCTCAACTCTTCTGTTGTTGAAGTAGAGAAAAACCCTCCGAGACAAGAGTGTTGGCACACCAACAAAGCGTAGTTGGGAAAGACAGTGAGCTGAGTGGTTGTGAGGTCCCCAGATTATAGTTAATGACCCATGCGCATGTGGCCCTAATAAAGCAAAGTGGATCATTGGATCTGTGCAAACACACTGAGAGCAGGCTTTGATTTCTAACAGCCGCTGCTGGGTGTCTGTTTTTATCTGTCTGTCGGTCTTCTTGTCTGTGATCGTAAGTCTGTGGAAGCCTGAAGAGTCTTTAGTTCATAAGAAGAGTCTCGGTGAGTCAGTTATTCTACTGTATTATAAAGTGAAAAGACTCGCAGCTTAGTGTGTATCACTGCTTATGAAATCACAAATCTGCTTCTGTTTTTTTCAGTTGCATTCTTTGTTTAGTTTTTTTACTGATATCAATACCAATTATAATATTCTCTATTGCTGGCATTTTTCAGCCATATATTTTCTATATTTTTGCATTCTGACAGTCCTCCTTTTCAATAAGTGTGTATTCACACATAAAGGATTCACATATATAACTGCATGCATGTACTGGGCGAGTTGCAGAGGATGAAAGCCAGTGCTGGTGTACATTTGCTTGTAAATTCAGTATCATCAGTCTTTTTTTAGTTAATTAAAGCAAGATCTATTTTAAGAAAGGTTGAAAAAGTTTAAATCGTATGAATCGCTAGCCGTATGCTTCAGAAAACGTTACATTGCTTTACATTTTTCTGTGTTCTGACCGTTTAATGGGGAACAAAACATACTGGTAGCTTGCTGCATTCCTGCAGAGGAAGGTTACTTTCAAATGCAATTTGTTTTAATGTACCTTAATGTTGAATACACAGTAATTATGTTAAATAAGTACTTCTTTAATCACTTGTGTGTTACCTACTTCAAAATCAAGGCAGTGTATGATTTACTTGTTGGCAGTCAGGTTTTAAACATATGGATTACAAAACTACTTCTCATTTTTAAAACAGTGCGCCAGGTTCATCTATATCTAGCATAGTTAGATTGTATTTTTTAGCAGTATGTTGCATGTTTTAAATAGAGCAGCATTTTTACTTCTTATTTCAAGTACCAGCATTTTCTGTCACAAGTCAGTAATTTTAGTACTTTAATACCCAGCAACACTGTGGGCTGTAAGCAGTTAAAGCAGGATTGTGCTTTAGCTTCTTACGTTTCCTGAATAAATCCCCAATGAAGTTTTTCTGTTTGACTGAGCTCAATTCTCCAGACTCTTATTGACCAGGGAGCACACAGCTGACAGCCTCAGCTTAGGCCAAGACAGGAAGTCTTATGTTAGCCCTGCCCCTTTACAAGCTACTAAAGAGAGAGAG